CGGCAATGTCAAGGGAATGAAAGGTAAATAAAAATTTTATTGCAAACTGAATGAGAGGGGAACAGACACCTAAATTGCTAGAAAATACTATAACTTTAGGAATATATTATTATAATAATAATAACAACAACAAAGTATTTAACCAGGAAAGGTACAAAAAGGATCCTTTTGGTTACCTTAAAGGACCACTATAGTGCCAGGAAAACATACTCGCCGGGCTCTGGGGAGAGGAAGGGGTTAAAATCTTACCTTTCTCCAGCACCGGGCAGGGAGCTCTCCTCCTCTTCGGCTGAATGCTCATGCGCGGCAGGAGCTGCGTGCGCATTCAGCCAGTCTCATTGGAAAGCATTCATTTGCTTTCCTATGGACGCTTGCATCTTCTCACTGTGATTTTCACAGTGAGAAGCACGCAAGCGCCTCTAGCGGCTGTCAAGAGACAGCCACTGGAGGCTGGATTAACCCTAGCTGGATCAGGCACCCAGACCACTTCATTAAGCTGAAGTGGTCTGGGTGCCTAGAGTGGTCCTTTAACCCAACATCCAGGGGTTGTTACTATTACCCAATTTAACAGGGTTGGGCAGATTCTACTGATGATAATGCATTAGCCTACTGAGCTATCTCACCAGCAATATGATATTCTTTTAATATTTTTCCAAGACACGCCTCTGGTGATTACCACACTGATATCCACTAGAGGCTGTTCCTCCTTAAAATCAAAGGTATTCACATTCAGTGTCCCCACCATGCACAGTGTGTTGACATTAGTCTGGGGGTTTCTCATAAAGAAGCACTGGATTTAGTGTTTTCTTTTTTTTTTTCATTCATATTCTTTATTAAAAAAAAATGTTTTAAACATCACATTACAATCATATAGTCATCGTTGAATACATTTATACATCAGTAACAAGAAAAAAAGTAAATATTACAAAATATATAAGATTTATCTAACAGAAATCTTATAAATTTATCATCATAACTCATTTTCGAGATTGAGAACCTACATCCAGTCATGACTCTTCCCGGATTTAGTGTTTTCTTTTTTTTTTTAATTCTTTATTTTTGCACACGATAGGCAATGCAAGAATAATACAACTTGGAGGCTTGCGCAGAAGCCAAAATATAAAAGAGCATACTTATAAACATAAAAATTGACATCGGCCCATATGACAAGCCACTTTATAAATTCCATACAACTTGCCCCCTATCGAGGATTTTGTGTTTTTTATATAGCTACATTATTTAAATTCCTTATTTTTGCACACGATAGGCATAGCAAGAGCAATACAACTGTGAGGCTTGCTCAGAAGCCAAAATGCTAGAAATCAGACTTGAAAACACGAAATATGACATTAGCCCAAAAGACAAGCCTCTTTATGAATTCTATTCCACTCGCCTCCCATCGATGATATTGTATCTTTTAGTCAGGCCATGCATCCTAAGAAGGAGCCCTAACTCTATCCATGTCAGGGTGTACTTTAGGAATCCTCAATTCTCCGTCAGTATACTCATGCCTGAGTGAGGAAAGTAAATAATGACAACATAGACTGAGACAATGTTAGAAATAAAGAGGTAAAAAAGAAAAGATACCCTTGTAAACCAAGGGTTTAGTAACAAGATGGAGAAACGTGAAAAAGAGAAATAGGGAAAGAAAAGAAAAGATAAGGCGAGGAAGAGGGATTAAGAGGACAAGAAAGATGTGAGTATGAAGGATAGGGAGGAGCGGGGGGGGGGGGGTTGGTTTAGTGTTTTCTATTAGACGCATCTTGATTGGTGGAGTTTGTTGATTGGACAAAAGACATGATAACTGATGGTTTCATTGGAGGAGATGAGTCAAAGAATTTGTCCTAGAGTTGGATTACATATGGCTTATGGCTGTTTTTCCTTTTAAGAAACCCAAAAACAAAACAGGAGAGGCCCTAGATACCAATAGGATCACTCTCCTGCTTATATTTATTTTAAAAATGGAAATTTTCATGTATTTTCAAAAAATAATTATATTTATTTTTAAATTTGAAAATGTTATTGATTGTTTTTAAAGTGAATTAAATTAGATTTCAAATTTTATGAAAACAGTAATTCAAATTGGATTTCAAAGTTGGAGAATGTTTGCATTTGGATATTTTGGCCTAAATAATTTACACTTTCATGTCTACAGAGGACCTGGACATAGTTTATATTGATGGGCTCCTTTCTTCTCTTGCTTGTCTGGATTGTAGTGAAATATACTGATAGGATTGCCCATTTGAGGACTGTTTATGATATTTCTTTATCCATTAGCAGAATACTTTCTCACAGTACAAAAGGATCATGATAGGATAATGTCAATGCATTAAGACTGATGCTTGTGACTCTAATTGCATGTGTACAAAGCATGGTAATGAAAGCAGTTTAATAACTGCAAAAGGCTGGTTAAGCATCCAAAAGACCAAGTGAGCATTCTAAAGGTTTGTAAGTCAGTCAGCTTTTATTCACAAAAGTGTCAGCTGTAGGGGAATTTAAAGTTAATTTTAAATATATTGATGTAAAATACGTCAACTGAACACATAGTTGATGTTGCTGACTTGAAGTGTTCTTCTATTTTGATTTAAACATTGGAAATCTCTGTTAAAGAAACACTATAGCGTTAGGAATAAAAATATGTACTCCTAACGCTATAGAGCCCTCGTCACCATTAATTAACCATTTATATGCTTACCTTAATCCTCCTCCATCTACGTAAGCTCCCGAGTGAAGCCAAATGCACATGCGCGGCCAGAGGTGCACGCGCATTTAAACCTGACCATAGGAAAGCATTACTCAATGCTTTCCTATGGGGATCTTTTTTGACGCTGGAGGTCAGTGAGGACGTCCAGCGTCAAATAAGTGCGATTTACTCAGTGTTAATTCTCAGAAACTGCTATGTTTTCAGCTGCAGGGATAAAACTAGGAGGGTCTGGCACCCAGACCACTTCATTGAGCTAAAGTGGTTTGGGTGCCTATAGTGGTCCTTTAATTCACTCTGAATTGCCAACAAGTTACACTTTAGTGAATAAATCGTATAGTACAAACACAATTTCATTACTGTTAGGGTGCTTGTGGTATTAGGGTCAGAGGATAGACTATTACCCACCCTGTCATGGGCATTGAATAAAAAACCTTGTTTGCCAGATTGAAAATGAATACTTTACAATGAGATTTCAGCAGCTGTATTTGTTAAGGAATGGTACCCAATTCCTCAGGCAGAGATGCATTTCTCTTTCCTGATTATCTGCTTGACTACTTTGGGAGGAGCGCCATTTTCTAATTCAAAAAGAACCTTTTTCTTTACAATATTTTTTCAGATGTTAAACAAAATTGGTGATTATTAATACTTAGTTGTTTAAACTCCATTTTAATAGAGCCTTGTAGTATCTCTGGAAAAAGTCCAGCAATCCAGATTTGTCATATGATCAAGAGTTTTGATCATCACCATAGTAACCATGTTACTGTCATACTAAGTTAGACTCCCTCATAGTTGGCTGGTATGTGTATATATGAGCAAGCAGCAAGAGTTTGTTTTTACAGAGCATTTTAAGTTATAATAAATAACACTCCCTCCTTTATTGGCCTGTAATATGGTACATTTACTTTGCTTTGGACCATTATGTAGCATTTGGTCATGAGATAATTTGGCACATTAATAATGGTATTGTTTTCTGACATTGAAGTTAGAATTCAGTCTTTATATTATGGACTTTGTGGAACTATATAATTTTTCTTCCCTTAAATTGTTAATATACGCAACTTAATTTTTTTTATGATTTGTTCTTCATTTACAGAGATATATTGAGGAGATTGCAGCCTCTTTTCCCATCTCCATCCAGACTGCTTTAGCACTTATTCTATGCATTCAATATTTCAGAGAGGGTCTGATAAATTAGCAAAGAAGAAAAAGAAATATAATTTAGGCAGTTCTTCCAGATATTATTCTTTTTAATTCTGAGGACTTTCGAGGAATTTCATCAAATGCACCACAGAAAAGCCGAAAAATAACCTTGACAAGTCACCTTGATAAAATCACACAGAAGGTACCCACAATACCCTGAGGTTACAGCGTCTGAATTATACACAGCTGGCTAGATAAATCAAATATGACATTCTGCCTAGCATCTCCGCCGTCTGCTGACAGACCTACTAACCCAGTGTGCACAAGCTAAATGAACAGCATTTTTAATAGAAGCTTTAAATAATTCAATATATTCTGTCATTTCAAAATATTTCTAAGTGACTTTATGGCATTCAAGTTCAAAAATGATTATTGTCCCTGTTTCTATTTAATTTCATGATAACTAGAAAAGCTTGAGGACAGGTAAAGTTAGAATAGTGTGGCAGTGAACTGCGTTCAAGTTGCTTGCAACAGATACAGTGTGTTCCAAATGTCCAAGAGACTGTGAATTGAATATGGTGTTATATTGTGACAAGGAACTGGATGGAATTTTAGGCTTTATAGCCACAGTGTGCTGTGAACATTTCAAAGTTAAATCCATGATTGTTCATTTTATCCATGTTGGTATAATAAAGTTGTTAACTGGATTAACAGAGATCTGGGATGCTTCTTTTTACTGACGAAGGTGTACTGATGGTTGGCCCAATACATGTACCTGCCTTGGTCCTAGAACAAGATGCTGTCCCTCTTTCTTGGAGAACATGACTGAGTCACATCTTTGATGCACTGTTCCTACCAAATCTATCCTTCTGCAAGAGGTCCAATCTCTAGCCTGATTAGTAGCAGCATATGAAACTTCGGAAACATGTTTAGATTTCAGTTTGAGAAGACACAACTAGGAATCTGAGTTGATTACAAATAAAGAAATGTTTGGTCTATAAGATACATGTTTTTTTTCTTTGTTACTCATACATGAATTGTTTTCTTCAATTTATAGATCTCTAGATATGGAAGGTGGTCTCCACTGCAGAGAAGCCTGACAAACCCTAACTGTTTGTAAGCTGAACTGAGATCGATTGCGTTTATTGCTGTAACAATGCTGAAACCAAGTGGACTTAAAATCCCAGGGAGAGGAGCGAAGCACTCCAGTCCGGTCGGCAGGTCTTCTGCAGGAGCAAGTGTTACAGGTGGCACCAGCTCCAAGGAAGGTAATTTTTTTAAAGTAATGTCTAAAAATATGCCCCTTACTTGAGCTAAATGGCGTTGCAATGAGCATAAGTCAACATGTTGAACCCGTATAAGAATATCAATGGAACACAGATATTTCTCCTTTAACAACGCAAATTCAGCTTGAATAAACACTAGCTATACACTGCTGCAAATTTCTCTAATTCATCTTCTTTTGTTTGCTTTTCTGACTTGATAATATTTTATTGTGTTGCTAATAATACCAATAAGTTTTCCAATGCATTTGTTGCTGATATTGCAGTAATTGCTTTTTAAATGTTGATAATTGAATTCTAGGTAGGTTCACAGGGTGCCTTACAGCAAATTCAACCCGTAATATTTATTAAATGGGAAATTGGCCATGGGGCTTCATATTTATGGACCTTACCCTTTAACTGCTGAAGAAAATATTTGCTGCAGTCAGTGACTCACTAGGATTGACAGGCTGTCTTGGGTCGTCTCTGATAGTTCACTGCATCCTCAGAACATATATAATCTCACATACATGAATATATGACTTCTAACATGTTTTACAATGTATGATTAACCCCTTAAGGACACATGATGGAAATATTCTGTCATAATTCCCTTTCATTCCAGAAGTTGTATCCTTAAGGGGTTAAAACTTAATCTGACCACTGCTATTATTAGGTGACTTTGGTAGTAATCTGTTTTGTTTGCATGAAATTCAGTAGAAATGAGGAGCTGTCTGACCTTAACCTCAGACTTGTGTGGTGTTCCACTGACAGTAACCCAGCTTAAAACTCTTTGCAGTTGCAAATTATTTTGCAACTTGACAAGTTTATCTAAAAACATTAAAGGGATTCTCCAGTGCCAGGAAAACATATTAGTTTTTCTGGCACTGCAGGACCCTGTAGTGCCCCTCTCCCTCCCACCCCCCATCCCAAGTTGCTGAAGGGGTTAAAACCCCTTCAGTGACTTACCAGAGTCCAGTGCCCATGTCACTTGGCGCTGGGTCAGGCTCCGCCTACTCTCCAGCGGAGGAGACCTAATGCGCATGCGTGGCAATCATTAGACCTCCTCATAGGAAAGCATTATTCAATGCTTTCCTATGGGGATTTTGGCGATGCTGGAGGTCCTCACATAGCGTGAGGACATCCAGCATCGTATAACACACTTTTCTTGTTCTAAGAATACAGAAGTCCCTCTAGTGGCTCAGGGGCTCAGCCACTAGAGGAGGACTTACCCTGCAAGGTAATTATTGTAGTTTATGAAAACTGCAATAATTACACTTGCAGGGTTAAGGGTAGTTGGAGTTGGCACCCAGACCACTCCAATGGGCATAAGTGGTCTGGGTGCCTAGGGTGTCCCTTTAACTTATGGCCACAGTGTGCAATCGCTCAGCAGACATATTCCATACAAGTACTTGACGGCAAAGAGGAAGCATTAGCTTCCTTCTGTAATATCTCTGAGTGAGGGGATGTCTTGTAACTGCAGTGATTTTTGCAATTCACATAAATTTTGAAGGAACATCCCAGGCACAATAACCACTACAGAATGCTGTAGTGGTCGTTGTGCCAAGAGTGCCTTGGCTTCCCCAATGGTAGGTAGAGACTTCTTAGCTGAGGTCCGCCAGGGCACCGCCTCCAAACTTCCAATTCACACTCTCTCTATAGGCTATAGTAGAAGTGTGGAGATAGTGTACTTAGCCAGGGCAACATGCTGTAGTGGTTATGGTGCTTGGAATGTTCCTTTAAGCCTCTGTGTGTCGGAAGGCAGGAGGAAACACCTACTCGCAGTATAAAAAATGCAATTAGCATAGGTTGTTGTGGTGTTTGGCGTGTTCTGTTGTGACAATTCAGTGTTTACTATGGTTGCTAAACTATTAAAGGACCACTATAGTGCCAGGAAAACATACGCGTTTTCCTGGCATTATGGTGCCCTGAGGGTGCTTAGAACTCTCCTCCTCCTCTCCGCCTCCTCTTCGGCTGAATGCGCATGCCTATAGTGGTCCTTTAAGTAATATGTTTATGTGAAACATATTTCATGGTAAGATTGAATCATTTCTGATATCAGTATGTGTTTGTTGCTTGCATTACTAGACTAAATCACACCAAAGCTGACTCAGAATTTGGCTCTATGACAAAGTCTTTCTGGCTGATGGGTACAGTTTCCCTTTTGTCTTTTAGCATAATTTAATGCCATTTGACCACCAACACAAGTTGTTCCATTTCCCCACTGTTTCATCTTCTAGAATTCCATTTTACATATTTACACATCATCCTTAAATGAAAAAGGGTATGCTGAAAATCAACAATACAGGGTTTCATATTTCTCTAGATTTCCCTTTAATTTTACTGCTAGTGTTATCTATAGATTGTCATGATCCAGGAATTGTAGTACTAAAGCCTTCATGATTAATGTCAGCAAAAAATATGAATTAGGAGAAAAACTGAGCCTGCCATGATGTGGAACATCATATATGGCAATTTTTATAATAAGATAAAACAGATTTTCTAAATATTTACATTATGCTGCATCCAGCACTTATAAAACTAATCACACACAAAAGGCACAATTACATTGCTGCCGGAATCTGAAATTAGAGCAATTTAGTTTCTGTGTTACGTTTTTTTATTTTTATTTTTATTACATTACAAATTCTCTTCCCAAAAGAAATATATAAAAATAAACACAAAGCTTAAATTACCTCCCCATTTAGATATAATACATTTTAGATACATAATACATTCACCAATGAATTTTATTATATTTTTGGTTTCAGGGTTTAACTGCAGCTTCTAAAGGGACCACAAACGAGCTATGTTTTTATGAAATCTGTTGTTCATCGTTCAGAAATAAGTTAATTATTGAAAAGTTTTAAATTAGTCATGCTCACCATGCAGCTTCTATTAGTTTGCTATTGAATTAGGTTCATGTTTTTTTCAGGAATAAATCTATATTCAGCTGCACATGTGCATGGCTGCTTATACACTTATCTTTGAATTGTCAGAAATTCACCAGAGAAATGCAAATTTTAGGCTAAGATAACCAAACTGGAAACGTTCTCCAATGCATCACGTGCAACTATTTTGGCCTTAATGCAACTATTCAGTGCCATTCCCACAGAGTGCTTAGCGTGGAAACCAGACTGAAGCGGGTCTAGCAGAGAGTTGGACTCTTTTCATCACTACTTTGCAGATGCATAAATGGCAGTCTGTTATTTTACCTTTAGATCACAAACAGTTTTGGTTTTGGAGCATTGAGGCAAAACAATGATTCTCAATGAACACCATTACTTCAGCACTATAAGAGTCAGTGACAGTGACAGATCTGGAGGAAGGAAAGACATATAGCCCTGTAACTAAATGTCTGCTTGCCAAATCTCTGCCAGATATCAATGGCCACATTCTGCTTCATAACAGAAACCTTTACATGAACTACATTAAAATCATTCAAAATACCAAATTTTCCTTCTCCTGCTGGAGGTGTCTCCAATGATTGTCATAATGTAGCTGCAGCATATTTCACCACTGCCATGTTGCAAATGGTTACAATGTTGCAATAGATGTATACAGGCATAAATCCAAACAAGACAACACACTGAGCTTGAGAGAGGTAACTGGTTTAAAGTTGACATCTAATAATATGCATTTCCAGAGGGGAGGGAAAATAAACCATTAAAAACAAGATACAATCACTGCATCTTCCTTCCTACCCCAACCTTAAACTAGAATAGAGGGTGTAATACAGAAAACAGACACAGAACAGAAAATGGACTGCACCCAGGTAAACAGGTAACATTGGCCGAATACTCTAGAATTAAAGGGACACTATAGTCCAACATATCACTTCATTATTATTATTATTATGTTATTTATATAGCGCCATCAAATTCCGCAGCGCTTTACAATGGGTGGACTATTAGACATGTATTTGTAACCAGACAAGTTGGACACACAGGAACAGAGGGGTTGAGGGCCCTGCTCAATGAGCTTACATGCTAGAGGGAGTGGGGTAAAATGACACAAAAAGGTAAGGGTAGTATTAGACTAGTGACAGTTGCAGAAGAGGAATCAGTCAGGAGCTATTAACAGTTTAATTGATACGCTTTTACGAAGAAGTGGGTTTTTAACGATTTTTGGAAGGAGTGGAGACCGGGTGAGCATCTAACGGAGGAGGGAAGCGAGTTCCACAGGAACGATGCAGCCATCGAGAAATCTTGAAGGCGAGCATCAGAGGTGGGAGTACGGACAGAAGATAGACGTAAGTCTTCAGCAGATCGTAAGGGCCTAGACGGGATATACTTGTGTATAAGGGAGGATAGATAGGTGGGAGCAGCATTATGTAGTGATTTGAAAGCAAGAACCAGAATTTTAAATTGAGCTCTATATTTTATAGGAAGCCAATGTAGGGACTGACAGAAGGGTGAGGCATGGGAGGTGCGGGCAGACAGGAAGATGAGCCTCGCTGCTGCATTCATTATGGACTGTAACGGCGCAAGTTGGTAACACGTTAGACCACTGAGAAGTGGATTACAGTAGTCAAGGCAAGAAAGAACAGTGGAATAGACCAACATCTTAGTCGCATCTGACGTTAAGTAGGGGCAGATGCGCACAATGTTTTTGAGATGGAAATGACAGGATTTGGCGATAGATTGAACATGAGGCTTGAAGGAGAGGTCAGAGTCAAAGAGAACACCTAGGCAGCAAGCCTGCGTGGTGGAGCTGATGGTAGCACCGTCGACTTGGAGGGAGACAAACATAGGAGTAACAACACTTGAGGGAGGAAAGACCAGAATTTCAGTTTTGGTCAAGTTTAGTTTAAGGAAGTGGGCAACCATCCAGTTAGAAATAGCAGAGAGGCAGTCAGAGACACTAGTCAAGAGGGACGGGGAGAGATCAGGAGAGGACAGGCAGATTTGCGTGTCATCTGCATAGAAATGATATTGGAAGCCAAAGGAGCTAATGAGTTTACCAAGGGAGGCAGTATAGATGGAGAACAGTAGGGGACCAAGGACTGAACCTTGGGGGACACCAACAGAGAGTAGTTGGGGAGAAGAAGCAGAGCCAGAGAAAGAAACCCTGAAAGAGCGCTGGGAGAGGTATGAGGAGCACCAGGAGAGAGCAATATCTTGTAGACCGATATTGCGGAAGATGAGAAGAAGCTGTTGATGATCAACAGTGTCTAAAGCCGCAGACAGGTCAAAGAGAATTAGGATAGAGTAGTGACCACGAGATTTTGCAGCTAGTAGATCATTGGATACTTTGGTCAGTGCCGTTTCCACAGAGTGCTTAGCGCGGAAACCAGACTGAAGCGGGTCTAGCAGAGAGTTGGACTCGAGGAAGTCTGTCAATCTCACATACACAACTCTTTCAAGGATCTTGGATGCAAAAGGCAATAGTGAGATAGGACGATAGTTGGATGGGGAGTTAGGATCAAGATTGGGTTTCTTTACAATTGGGATTACAGTTGCATGTTTAAAGGGCGATGGAAATATACCAGAGGAGAGAGGATGAGAATTTTAGTGAGAGGTGGAGAAAGAGAAGAAGACAGAGTACGGATGAGATGCAAGGGAATTGGATCTAGGGAGCAGCTAAGTAGTCTGTTTACATTGCAAGGCTAAGTCTATCTTTAGTGGAGCTTGCTGCTGCACTGACCAAGTAAAATTTAATTATGTGACATAGAAGCCCTTGTAGGAAAGCATTGACTTAATACTTTCCTATGGGGAAAGAGTGAATGCGCTCAAGGCACTTGCTAAGCATGTGCATTATGTATTCAGTGCACTTCTATAAAGAGCATTGAATTGGCCTATCGCAGAGGAAGGGGTGGATCTTCCCACTAGGGACAGGGGCACTATAGCTTTAGGAATAAAAGATTCTATTGCTAACGCTATAGTATTCCGTTAAATGCACCAGGGAGTCAGTAAATTGTAAATGCAGGGATTAAGAGAGTATAGAGTGTTCTTCCAGTGTGTTTACCTCTGCTATATCACAGTTTCTTGGCATAAATTTTCCCAATTAGGTTTTCACCACAGTTCAGTGAGAACTTACCTAGAGAATATTGAATTATAAAAATAAATTGTGGACTATATTGTGCTGATAAAAACTAGCTTTGTTTTTTTATTTTAAGTGTAGAATAAAACATACGTATTCCATGTCATTTATGGTTAGCTTTATTTTATGTTCATATAGTATCTTATAAAGGCCCTAATTTAATATTTTTGGATAAGCTTTTCACATTATTTAATATTTTGAAAAAAAATAATTTTAATAGCTAATCCAAAAGTATTAAATCAAGTCCAAAGTATGATACCAACTCACAGCAAATTGTAGTTAAAAAAAACTGAATTGGAAAATGTAAAAAAGTCTCCCTTCACAAGCTGCAACAGCAGTGCTGTCAGTTCCCACACTTGCCTGATGGGCCCTCCGGACTGTCGGCAGTGCACAGAGGTGAGTATGGAATCCCAGGTGGAAGTTTCCACAGGCCAGAGGGGGCACTGTGCTGGGAGGAACTGCTGGGTCATCTAGAGCAGCGCAGGGGAGAGACAGGAAGAGGAAGCTTAGCTGCACAGAATGTGGGGGTATTGAGGCATCCAGGCAGCTGCTGGTAAGTGTTAGTCAGTGTGTGTAAATTAGTCTGTGTGTGTGTGGGGGGGCAGGGGGATTAGTCTTTATGTGTGTTGGGGGTCAGATTGTGCGTGTGTGGGGGTCAGTCTGTGTGTGTGTGGGGGATGTCAGTCTGTCTGTGTGTGTATTGGACAGTCTGTGCATGTGTATAGGTCATTCAGTGTGTGTGTGTGGGGGGGGGTCAGTCTGTGATTGTGAGGGTGGTCAGTCTGTGTGTGTGTATAGGTCAGCCTGTGTGTGGAGTGGGGGGGTCAGTCTGTGTGTGTGGGGTGGGTCAGTCTGTGTGTGTGGGAGAGTCAGTCTGTGTGCGTGGGAGAGTCACTCTGCATGTGTGTGTGGGTCAATCTGCATGTGTGTGTGTGGGTCAGTCTGTGTGTGGGGGTGTCAGTCTGTGAGTGTGGGGGGCAGCCTGTGTGTTTGGGGGTGTCAATCTATCTGTGTGTATTGGTCAGTCTGTGTGTGTGTGGGGGTAAGTGTGGGGGGCAGTATGTGTGTGTGTTGGAGGGGCTCAGTCTGTGTGAATGTCAGTTTGTGTGTGTGTGGATGGGTGGGTCAGTCTATGTGTGTGTGGGGGGGGTGAGTCTCTGAATGTGGGATGGTTCAGTCTGTGTGTGGGGGGGTCAGTCAGTGTGTGTGTGGGGGGGTCAATGTGTGTGTGTGTGTGTGTGTGTGGGTGGGTGGGTGGGTGGGGGGAGGGGGTAAGTCTGTGTGAGTGTGTATTGGTCAATCTATGTGTGGGGGGTCAGTCTGTGTGTGTATGGGTCAGTCTCTGTGTGGGGGAGCAGTCTTGAGGTCCATGAGAGATACCTGTCATTTTGTGACCTCCCCTGCACCCATGCTTGTCTGTAGTGAGCTTGTGTGTGTCACTGAGCTTGTCTGTAGTGAGCATGTGTGTGTCAGTGAGCTTGTCTGCAGTGAGCTGTGTGTGTGTCAGTGAGCTTGTCTGTAGTGAGCGTGTGTCAGTGAGCTTGTCTATAGTAAGTTTGTGTGTGTATCAGTGAGCTTGTCTGTAGTGAGCTTGTGTGTGTAGTGAGCTTGTCTTGTCATTAATAAACTCACCCATGGAGGCGGGTCCAGCCGCGACAAAACTGACACGGTGTCAGAAAAAAGGTTTGTAAAAATACCTTTCTCATGCGATCAAAGGAGGTAGATACCTAAACATGCACTCACTGACAGGCACACAATCTCTGACAGAGGCACACACATTCTGACAGAAATACACTGACAGGCATATATTCTCTAACTGATACACACACACTCACAGACACACACATTTGTTCACACACTTACAAATTGCTATTTTTATTTTAATCCACCCAGCTTCCCTACCTTTGGGACAGCTGAGTGGATCTTTTCCCTGGTGTCCAGGGGCTCCCCTCTAATCTTTCTGCAGTTTCTGCACACTCTCTGTAGTGATGCCCAGGCCAGAGTGACGTCATGTCACTAAACAGCATGCGAGGGAGCAGAGAGGAATTGCAGGAAGGTTACTGATCCCCGCGGCGGCCAGCTTCAGTGTTTCCTGCGCGGCTTAGCAAAGGGCTGACAAATCACAGGCGCCAGGGAGAAATATATATACACGTTTTATAACTGCCCCCATACTTTTGTCCTTGGCCCCTCATGTGCCACCCCTAAATATGAATCCTGGAGATGCCACTGGCATTGTGGCAGGTTTATGCAATGCATGATCATATACTTTAACGAAAAAAACATTATTTTTGACTAGGTTAGTTGTTTGTAAAAAAAGGTAACTGTTGCAATCTATGATCTTTTAAATTGCTGTTTAGTGAATGAGTGAGTGCGCTGGATCTTGTATGTTATACATCCTATGACATCATCATACACTATAGTGGCTTGCTTTTCTCAGTGGACATACGAACATTCTCGTATGAATGAAGTCAATTAATTCCCAGACTTTTTAGGTTTGTTCTTTATATTTTAACTTGTGTCCTATGCCAACACTAAACATATAAAAAGTATTTTGACTGCACAGTGGGCTGTACAAGGATACATAATTTATTGCAGACTCATTTTAATGCAAATGTGTATTTTCTTTTCATGTGGGAACAAAAGATTCCCTTGTACCAGTGAGCACCAGCCTTTTAGCATTGAAGCAATGATTATAGCATGCCGTGAAAACTGCAAGGAGAATAGAACAAAGAGCTTTTAACAGCTACTAAGATCCAGTACTCCGCTCTAAAAAAAACAGCCATTTTTAATTTCCTCTTTCTGGCAAATTTAAAATGTAACAATAACATCACGTGGAATAAAAAGAGCAGATCATTAAGAAAAAGAGAATCATTCTTTCATCAGGATAAAATGTTCATAAACTAGAATTGTGTGCTAAAGCAGTCATATAAAATAAAAAGAATAAAAATAGCAATGGATTAAAATGATGTAAAATAATGATTTAACATTTGTAGTATCTTTTAGGGTGCTTACTCTGATAATTCAAAGGGTATTTTATATCTAAGGCCAGAGTAGACAAACTGAAATCATAGCTGAATTTTTCCAGTTAGACTATTTTGACCTTAAATTTGAAATTCACTGAATTAAAAAGTATATCATTACTAAGTGGTCTGTTTGCTAAACAGTGAGTGGTAGTGAGCACACAGGAATGTATAGAAGTTAGGCCAAAGTAGCTGCGTTGTAACCAATGTATATATTTTAAAAAAAAGAATTGACACTAACACAGTTAGATAAAGACATGTCCTCATAAAACATATGAGTGTCAACAAGGTTATACAGTACATGTCAAAGTTTCTGCACAATTTGGAAATTATAGAATGGTACATGTAGAACAGCTCAAAAGCACAAAATGTATACCACTGGAGCAAACAATTAGCAGCTGCACTTAGGCCAAAATACTGTAGTAAATAAAGAAAACGAAAATAGGGACATAATGCAAAAGTGGTGAGTATACTTTTGTAACATATGCTCTCAGGAACTCAAATTCACCCAATTCCCGACTCTGTGATATTGCTCAGCCTCTCTGGCCAGAGTCCTGTACACCCGGACCCATGAGTCCTCTCTTCCACTGGCCCCAGGTCAAAATATGAGCAGGCCCATGATGCTCACAAATCTGTTCACTCTTGGTACACAAATCTGCTTCCCAGAACAGTCCAACAAGGCCAGTCCTCCGGGGGCATGAGTGGTCCAGAAGACATGTCACTCTGGAGGTAACCACTCCCTGGGCTTGGGACTTGTATCAGAAAAGCGCTTTGATCTGTAGGCTGGTTCCATTGTAAAGCAGGGGAACCCTGGACTACCTGTGCCCAAAATCGGTTCCATAGTGTGTTGAAAGCTTTGTTAAAGGCCTCCATCCATGCGAGCCGCTGTAAGAATGTTCGCTGGAAAGCAACAGGCAAACAGGCACTAGTTGAAAAAATACCCAGGAAGGATCTCTAACAGCCATCCAAGGAGTGGGCAGTGAAGTTATCACTAGGCTGTAATGTAAACACTGCATTTTCTCTGAAAAGACACTGTTTACAGCAAAAAGCCTGAAGGTACTGATTCTGCTCACCAGAACAAATTCAATAAGCTGTAGTTGTTCTGGTGACTTTAATTATTTTACACTGTGGAACAAAATTATGTGAGTGGATTTCTGGTAAGGAAGTGTGTGTATTGCTGTTTGCTGTTTAGAAGATGTTTAGGGTGTTAGGAAGTGTCAACTAACAATTTTGATCAAATTTAGTCGATTAATACTGGACTAAAACTAAAACAATTCACATGACTAAAACACGACTAAAACTAAAATGTTTTTTTTGTCAAAAGACTATGATTAAAATTTGTCGCCAAAATTAACACTGGTGTTAGGAGCATAGGTTAGTGCGCTAAACTTGTGGGGCGACTGCACCTTTCTGCTTTTTCCTTTATGTTGGATAGCATTCTAGAGACAGAAAACAATGATTTGTGAGTTATACTAAATCCCCTGCTATGCCGGTTACTTTGCTAGCACAAAACAGGTAGGTTTTCAAGCAGCGGGGTTTGCTCTGTTTATGTGCCATATAAAGATAGTTAAGCAGACAGGCAGATATACAATACATTCAGTATACCATTGCCACCTACAATTTATTTTCAGAGCAAAATGTATCTTTTCAATTTTGTATTTTTAAAAAATATATATATTTTTGCAGTGCATGAAAATTTCAATGGATCTCGTAGTGCCACAACAGCGATAACAAGCATGTATTAGATTACAGAAAAGTACAAATTGCATAAAATATGCAAATGCTTCCTAAAATGCTTCCTAAACTATAATGTTGTGTGGCAACTTGAGGGTACAACACAATTTTGTAATTAAGGTAAAAATCAGGCTAGACAAACATGTTGTAGGATTAGTAAGATTTTCATACATATAAAAAGAAAAAGGCAAGACATGTAGATTACTGAAAGTTATGTGCTAAAGTACAAGAGTAACAGGCAGTGTATGAGAGCCACTGGACGCCCACGCATTCAGGTAATGGCATTCCGCTCTGCAATATGCATGTGCAATAGGGTGAGAGAAATCATAGGTAAATGGAAACAAATCATAAGAGTATAAGAGCAAGCAGTACAACAAGTATTAAAGGTGCATTATATGCCGAACACCAACAATATGTAAGCCACCGTTGTCAGGTGAATAACAGGCAGCAGACACAGTATCTGACTCAACCTATCCCTATCAGTGGCTGAAGTGGTGCGTGTACAGGGGTTATCAGGTAGTGTTTTGCTGAAGTACAGCAGATCAGGGTTCTTCCTTTGCCCCAGGCCTGTGTGAGAGCCAGCATCCTTAGTCCATGGATTCGGGAACCCACATGAGCCAAGTCCTTCCCACTTCCAGGGTAAACAGAGGACACTGGTGGTGTACGCTGTTTTTGGCGAGTAATCCTCCCTTTGGTGGTTGATGCACGGAGGCAGTGCCTCGGGGGGCTCTCGGCCCAGGCAGGGGTGCGGCAGAGTTACCAGGTGCTTGCTGTGTAATAGTGTCCAGGAGAGGTTTGCCCTGCTCCGACTGCTTGCAGAACTCCACTTCTTCCAGCCACTTAACTAGGGTCATCCACTCGCGCTTCAGAATCCACAGCCAGAAGCTGTGAAATATTTAATCTAGGCACTGCATTGTGGATTTGGTTGAGCCATGGTACGGCGCGTGCAGGCCCTATTCATCCGGCTGAGAGGCAGGTGCCGTGTGCACCGTGTGCCCAGTTGGGACAGGGATATCCCCCACCGGTCCAAAGAGCGCGGCAGGGTCAAACAGTGCATCCAGGAGTGAAAAGATCGTCCACTTCTCCCCAGCTTCCTCCACTGTAGGCCGCAGCAGGGTGACTGGGGCTCAGCTGAACAAAGATCGCGATTCCAGGGTCTGAGTAGTTCTCGGATCAGGATAGTGCCTTTTAGCTTTAGTTGCTGCTAAATTACCAAGATTATCCTCACAAAATCAGCGCGGGAAACGGGAGCTCGAGCCCAGCACGTCTGCCCTGCACAGAAGTCAGGCTTCGCTCCCGAGCAAAATGTCATTGTTCTCAAAAATGTAAACCTATTTGTTGATGGCATTTATAGTGTTTTTTTGGGCAAAAATCTTTGGTAGCAGTATGTTAAACCATTTCTGAGCAGTTTCACAAACCCTGGTGGTGTTATTCACTAAACATCGGAAAGACAAATGAAAGCCAAATGTGGTCGGAATTTGGCCCAAGTGAATCTGCAACAATCGCCAAGATGCATTTGGTGTCCAGATTAAAATCAGTGCTTTCACATCTAAATCCTATATGAAGTATGGGATTCAGAGGTTTCACAAAGCACCGGTTTGAATCCAGTAGTATACAGTGTATGCAAATTATCATTCACAGCATTCGCAGCCTGCAGGAAATAGTTTTTAAAAAGCCCTCTGCTGTGCAAGGTTTAATTGCTAGATAGTGATAAAACACGTAATGTTATGGCGCTGAATTTAAAACTATAATATATACTAATAAGCTGCACTATATATCGTGAAAAGGCTCAATCACCTATATTAGAACAATTTAAGAATAAAGTGCGCTGTGCCTTTAAGACTCAAAATATTGCCTTAACCCCGTTTACTTTTTTCGAAAGGACGTGCATTCAGGAACAATTCCCGAAAGGCCTCATTACCAATTTATACGCACATCTCAGTACGACTACATCGGAATGGGGGGAGCTTCATTACACGACGCAATGGGAACAGGACCTGAATGAGGAATTGGAAGGCGTTGAATGGCAGGAAATCTGGGAAGCAGCGGCGACCTCTTCTATTTGTGTCACTTTTCAAGAGCAAGCCTACAAGACTATGTTCAGGTGGTACGCTACTCCAGCAAAGCTTTGTAGGATGCATAAAATGGCTACGGATGTTTGCTGGAGAGGATGCGGCCAGAAGGGAACGTACATACATATGTGGTGGGTCTGTCCAGAGGCACAAAAATTTTGGAATCAGGTCGCCGTTCTATTGGGAAACATCTTTGGTAGGGTAGTTAAGCCAGATCCATGGGTGTTCCTTCTGGCCAGGTCTATGGAGAACTGGTCCAGATCGGAACAAAATTTGCTCCATAAGGTAACCCTTGCTGCCAGGAGGGCCCTGGCCCAGGTGTGGCTACAGGGAGAGACTCCCCCTCTTGATGTGGTAATACAAAAGATTAAAGACACTTACCTCATGGACGAGTTGACTGCTCGGGTCCGGGGCACTAGAAAGAAATTGGACAAAATTTGGGGCCCGTGGATAGAAAGCGGGGTTGGCGATTAGGGGGAAGGGGGACGGGCTCGTCTCCTTCATACCCCAACATACCTCTGCTGACTCTGGGGGGGATAGCACCTCTATAGTTCCATTGCTTAGTTGGTCCTTTTGGTCCCCACTGAGGCGCCTACGGTCTATAGTTCTCCTCATGGGCTTGGAGGTCCATCCTTAGGCTTTGCAGGTTTGGCTGCACAGCCGACTGGTCGAGCTAGCATTATTGCCAATTCTTGGAATACCACCAGCATACTCCCTCCCTCTCCTATTCTCCTCTTATTTTCTACTCTTATGGTACTTTCCATACGGTTAATCTTCTTTTTTTCCACTTCCTTTTATCTCTTTTTCTTTTTCCCTTATTTTTACTTCCTGTCTGGCTACTGTCCAGTGATCACTTAGCTAACATGAACCTTTTTGGGTTGAGGCGGGCTGTGGGGCCTTTTTTGGCGGAGCGCTAGTTAAATGGTACTACAATATTGTTGACCTTACACGTTAGATATGCATATGATAGTTTGGTTTGACGCCTACTATTTATTAAAGGTTAAGGTGGAATGAAGAAACGAGCTGCCATTTAGTCAGACAGGATTCTGTATATTATATAATATAAAATCGATTGGAGGCTGCAGTAGACAGATAATAATGGTTGGAGGACGTATGTCATACTCAGTGAACATGTTTGGTTGTAAGGGCAGCTAATCATGTTGTATTCTGATTAATATCGAATATTGTTTGTGATGTTTGTCCTCTTATTGCATTGTAATGATTGTTTTGCTGTGGTATCTAATCTTGTTATAAATAAAGAATTTAAAAAAAAAAAGACTCAAAATATTTATAAACCGTGAAAATAATTTGTGCAAATAAAGTGATCAAGTGCATCAATGTGCAACTCACTTAAACATATATATGCAAATTGTGCAAACAAAATATTTCTTTGTGCAACCAATTATGTGCAAAGAAACAATACTTAGCTTTCCTAATTATGGAATATGCTTTAGGGCTTCTGTCAGCAACAGACATGGCCTGATGAAAGCTCCGTAATGGAGCTGAAACGTTGATGTCATGTTGAATAAAGAAGAATAACTTGAAATTCCTTGGAGTGCCGGTATTCCCTTTGTTTATATTGCTAAGCTACCAGAGCACCAGGTACCATTATATCTTGGCTGGAGTGCAAGGGCTTTTCATTTTGTAAATATATATATATACACAGACTAATACACGTTTTATAACTGCCCCCCCTTTTTGTCCCTGTCCCGCCATGTTCTCTTCGAAATATGAATCCTAGAGACGCCACTATACACAGGTAACTTTTTTCTTAGTCTTTTATTGTATGTATTGTGCCTGATGTGTACTATAGTCATTGCTGCCGTCCAGGAGTATTACGAGTCTGAATGCAGGACTTATTTTTGTGTATTAGTAATTTCCTCCCAATACAACCATAAAACAGTTGGTTATTTTGCTCTAATATGGCGAATTTGTCCACAGGGTCACACCTACTGCTCCCTGTCCACAGGGCCGGCGCTACCATTAGGCAGCCAGGTGGCCGACTTAGGGCGCTCTAGCCCAGGGGCGCAAATATCCAGTTGACTGGCAGGAGAGAAGTGCATAGCACTTCTCTCCTGACAGTCATTTCCTGTAGTGTGGCTGAGCGCCAGTATCTCCGCTTCCCGGGGCAGGAGGAGAGGGCTCGCGAAGGAGCTCCGATCCAAATCTGCTTTTCCTGTATAGCTCCCTCGCACGCCCTGTAGAGGTCCTGGGAGCCGGAACGTGACATCATATTCCGACTCCCAGGCACCACTGCCGGGCACACAATGGAGCTATACAGGAAATGCAGATCTGGATCGGAGCTCCCTCAGAGGAGCACTGCGACAGCCGACTGGACCCCATGCTGTGTGTTTACTCCAGTTCTCCATGAGGTAGGGAGACTGGGTGGATTGAAAAAAATGTGTGTGTTGCCCTGCTCCCTCAATACGGTTACTATCCCACCACAATATCCCCTATTCCCCCCTCCCACCATATCCCCTGCCCCCGCAATACTGTTACCTTCCACCCCCACAATAGCCCCAGTCTCCCATAATGCTGCCCTGTCCCTCAAAACTGTGCTGATCCCCCCCAGCAGAGCCCCAGTCCCCCAAAATACCGCCTCTACCCCATACGGTTCATATCCCCCCAACATAGCCCCAGCCCCCCATAATACTGCCCCTATCCCTCTTCCCACCATAGCCACTGTCCCCCCACAATACTGTCCCTATTCCTCCTCCCAACATAAACCTAGTCCCCCACAATACTGCTCTACCCCTTACAATACTGTCCCTATCCCCCTGCCACTAAAGCCCCTGTCCCCCACAATACTGTTCCCTTTCCCCCACAATAGCCCCAGTCCCCCATAATGCTGCCCTGTCCCTCAAAACTGTTCTGATCCCCCCCACCATTGCCCCAGTCCTGCACAATGCTGCCATACCGCTCCTGCCCCCCATACTGTTCTTATCCCCTCCTGTCCCCCACAATACTGCCCCTGCCCTCCCACTAAAGCTCCAACCCCCACAATACTGTTCCGATCCCCCCACCATAGCTCCAGATCCCACAATACTGTTTCTATCCTCCCCCCACCATAGACCCAATCCCTCACAATACTGTTCCTATCCCCTACCACTAACACCCCAATCCCCCAAAATACTGCCCCAATCCCCCCATACTAAAGAATCAATATGCGACAATACGGCCCCTGCCCCCATCACAATAAAGCCTGAATCCCCCACAATACTGCCCCTATTCCCCCCTCGATAAAGTCCCTATCCCCCCCACAATATTGCCTCTATTTCCCAATACTTTACTATTCCCATCTTCCCTTGACTACAGCCCCTGTCCCACACACAGTACTGACCTTATCCGCCTACTAAAGCCTTATTGTACAGCGCTACATAATTTGTTAGTGCTATATATTTTATAATAATAATGCCTGTGTAGCCAAAAATTCTTTCACCGCCCCTGCCTGTCTAGTAACTCCTCAGTAGTAATAAAACATACCAAAAGTGCATGTTATCAGGATTTAAACTTAAAATGCATATATCTCATTAACATTAGAAGGTCCTCAAACACACCAATATTAGTCATTTGCCTAGACCACGGATAGGTAACCTTCAGCACTCCAGATGGTGTGGATTACTTTTCCCCTGATGCTTTGTCAGTATTATGGCTGTAATAGTGTTATGGGAGATGTAATTCACATGTTATCTACCCCTGGCATTGACCAACATTAAATAGGTCATTGGTGTCTAAACTGCAAAAATATGATGGTTTAAAATATAATGATGGGGATCCAATGCAACCAGGAGAGACACTTGCATTATCTGCTCATTCGTGAGCAGACGCTATCTTCAGGTGAGCATTGTTTAGTTCTGTGGGTAAAAAACACATGTACACCGGGTAAGGACATTGTTGTCCACATTTTATGTCTGTAACAACATTATTTTAAACTTCAGTTATAATCTGCTTTATTTAAAATTTTGCTTGTGTTCCTGTAAAATGCTGTGGTATTAAGTTGATGTCCTTCCTTAATTTTTTACAGGTTCTCCCCTCAAACAGGGTTCCACCTCATCAGCTGGTCCTGAAAAATCAAGCTCAAAGATCACTGAAGTAGGGGATGAGTTCCTAGGAGACTTTGTAATTGGTGAGCGTGTATGGGTCAATGGAGTTAAGACTGGAGTCGTACAATACTTGGGAGAAACCCAGTTTGCCCCAGGGCAATGGGCAGGAGTTGTTCTCGATGACCTTGTAGGAAAAAATGATGGGTCTGTAAGTGGAGTTCGCTATTTTGAATGCCAACCGTTACAAGGGATTTTTACACGGCCTTCTAAGTTAACTCGACAGCCTGTAGCAGATGGTACTGGAAGTGACTCTCATTCTGTGGAATCCTTGACAACTCAGAACTTATCCCTGCATTCTGGAACTGCCACACCACCCCTGACTACCCGTATTGTGCCTTTGCGGGAAAGTGTGCTCAACAGCGCCATTAAGACAGGAAATGAGTCAGGATCAAATCTCTCAGACAGCGGGTCAGTTAAAAAGGGAGACAAGGATCTACGGACTGGAGATCGTGTTTTGGTAAGTTATATTTTAAAAAATGTATCGTGTAGTAACAAGTGCAATTCTCAAGGAACTTATATCTCAGTATATATCAATGTTTGGTGTAAGATCTTATATAGCATTACCATTATCTTCTTTGGATAGAACTAAACTATTTGATAATCAGTCTGCTACCCAAAAGACCACCTACTCAATTTGGACAATTATTCTTTACAATCTTTTAGTAGAAGAAAATATATATAAATATAAATAAATATATTAATTAGTAACCTTTGTAAGCATTTCAGTATTAATAAAAGAATGACAATTTCTTTGAAAGGAGCACTATTACTTTAGGAATACAATCTTGTATTCCTAACACTATAGTGTCCCTGTCCCTCGCTCTACATAATTCTCAACCCCTTTCCCCTCCCCCCTAAAAAATAAAACAATAAGAGATTTACAGACCTAGCATCGAGGCTCCCTCAGCATGGTCTCCTTCATGATGGTCTGTTCCTGGACCAGTTTTTAATAAACTGCAATATCTTAGATTGCAGGTTTAAGGTGACATGGATTCTGCACTCAATGAGATTAAGTGGTCTTTGTGACTATAGTGTCCCTTGAAGGAATCACATTTTTTTGTAATTCTGTAAGAATCAAGCATAAAAAAAACTGTAAGCAGAATAAAAAAAATATCAATGTACACTATAGCTAAACCCTTTATTTTGTATTCCTATCACAGCCTTCACTGATTCACAGTGTCAAGCAGACACAGAAAATTACAATGCTCGCCAAACACAAATTTTCCTACATTAAACAGCCTAATTAGTATCATTTTCTCAGCTATTATAGCTGTCAGCAAATACAAATGCTTCATTTATAATTTTATAAAAGCAAAGCATCATTGAAACCCAAAATAAGGTAATGTTGGAAAAAGAAAAAAAATCCTTTATTCCCTGATATTTTGTCTTTCTGGCCTTGCCCGTGTCCATTCTCCTTGTCTGTTATTCATTTTGCTCCAGCAGTCAGTAATACTTAATTGCTCTGTAAGGAACATTGAAATGGTGTCTGGGTGCATCCAAATTACTCAAACTACCAAAAATGCTTTACTCATTACTGGCAGGAGGAGCAAGCATTTTCATTGCTATGACATCTGTATTTATTACTACATCTCCAATACAGATATTTTCTGGAGGGAAGAAAAACAGGAAACAGAGGAGCAAAGGTTAAATGAACAAATTTAAGAGATACTGTATACATTAGACTTCTAGTGGTTGTAAGTGGTCTTGGCATCATGATGAAATGCTTCTCATAAAAATATATTAAATTCAAGGCTTCTCTCTGAGACACACCTTGGATGGGCAAAGTGTGGAAATTGCAGCAATGTGCTCAGTCTCCCCGAATGCTTCTCTATGAGAATGATTGGATTGGATGAAAGTCATAACAACTGATGACTTAATTGGAAGAGGGGGAGCTGCTTCCAGTTTTGAAATAAATGTAGGTTTAATGGGACCAGTAATCAAAACTAAACAAGGAACACTTTAACATTAAAAAATACATATATATTTTTTTATAAATGGAAAAATAAATAAATGTATTCTACGATTAGCATGTTCTTTTAACTTGTGTGGCACAATGACAAGTGGGAAGGGGTAGATATATAAAGATGCTATACACCTATACCATGTAATATCACCTTTTATCTCTCCATAATGGAAATATTTGTGATAATGTTGTTCCACCAAAAAACAAAACAAAAAAAAAAACCTGCCAATGACGTTAGAATATAATAAAGATTTTGAAATAAAGTTTCTTTTGTGAAAAGGGTTGTTTAAAGGAGCAGGTACACCAGCATCTCTAAGCATGGTTTGTCCTCTACATTTTACATATTTTGTGTATATGTAAAACAAAAAATATAAAATTTTAGCTGCTTTAATCCCTGTCTCTGACTTATTGTTTTCTTGCACATTTCTGATATTGTCCTTTGTTAAAATCATTCTCACTGAAGTTATAAAGAAAGCCTTCTCTTCCTATTGTCAGTATGTAACTTGCAGAAAATTTGATGAAATACTCCTTCAAACAAAAGGTTTCTTTATTTTCTTTTTCTGTGTGACAGCCCAGTGACAAGTCAGTGTGTATCTGTCTAGAATTGGGAACATTCTATTTTCTTTATAATGTGCTCAATTGACTAGGAGGCTGGTCATGTACAGATAATAGACGTGGATTTGTGTGACTAGTCTAGGATTACTTGGAATGCACGCACATAGTATACAACAAAGCTAATGTTTTCCTATTTGTTGCTTATGTACCAGCATTAAATGGGTACACTGGGCTTGAAGCCAATGTATATGCATTTTATTTATACATGTGCATCTTATTGTCTTGTTGTGTTTGTATATTTCAGTGGTTGTCTATAAGATGCATTCAAAAAATGGCACAATTTTGATCTTGAGTTTCCAAGTATAGGAAAAATGATAGTGAACCTTTCCAGTGACACTTTATCTTGCATGTGTCTGTTTATAATTGGATGATTTATTGTGGTGTTAAATCAGCAAACTATATTTTACAAAACATGCGGCACAAACACATCACATCACAAAAACAAACTGAGTTCTCTAAGAACATAAGCAACTGCAATGTTGTAAGGCAGAGACCGAAAACTATTGGTATAATTTACTATTTAATTTTTTAGTTATACAAATGTCTCACCAGAACTACTCAGTAAAATGTGCATAAAATAAACAACATCTGTAAATCAGGCTCCCCACTGCAAGACATAAAACTGTGGCTTCTTCGTGGCAGTTTGCAAATGCAGATGGAGACCAGAGCTTTTCAATCACAAGCAGTTTAAAAACAGATAATTTACAAAATGGCCCAAACATAAATGTATAACCCAAACAAATATATTAATACTGTTTGGGGTCATATAAGTCATACATTCAAATAATTCTGTATACAGACATACCTCGCTAATATGTCAGGTTAGGTTCCAGCTACTGCATATAAAAGACTTAATACATGTTCACACTACCACATAACACATACCACCCAATACATACCTCTAAATAAACTACCACATACCTCCCAAAACCACCCAATACATACCTCTTAATACACTACCACATGTGTAGGCAACCTTTGGCACTCAGGATGCTGTAGACCACATCTCCCTTAATGCACTTACACCCATAATGCTGGCAAAGCATCATAGGAGGTGAAGTCCAAAACATCTGCAGTGCCAAAGGTTGCCTATCCCTGCACTGCCACATACCTTTAGAATTGGGATGGGTGGGCAGAGTTCTGAGGGGGCATCACCAGTGAAATGAGACGCATTACTAGCGGCATCCACAATGGGCAGTTACGTTTGGAAAAGGGTCGAGCTTGCCTACTGACAATCTGGCTAGCTGACCCCAGCATTGGGGACCATGCAGAGAGCATTGCTCCTTGCATGGTCCTAGTGCCCAATTCACAGCGTGAGTGCGTCTCTATTGATGTGCTCGTGTTGTGCTGCCTGGGGAGAATTCTCTGGTGTCCCCAGATGCGGTACACCAAGGAACTACACGGTGGGACAGGACCCCATAATCATGACTGTCCCGCCAAAAGCAGGACAGTTGGGAGGCATTCTTTTTAAAGTTATTGTGCAATTAACCGACATTTACTCTATGGTAATACAATATGTTATTAATTACACAATAACTTTATTAAAAAAAATATAAAAAAGTACAAATAATATATGAAAAATGCGACCACTGTACGTATTGCTATCTTAAAATAGTGGTGATACATGCTCTGAATATAATTGAAAAGGTCTGTGTAATGCAGTAATGCAAAGTACTACAACACATTTAAAAAGGTTGTAGTACTTTGCATTACTGCATTACACAGACAGTACCCTGTTGTAAAGAATATAAATGCATTTACAACAGGCATGGGATTTCAGTGTGAAACAGATGATGAAAAAAAAAATTCTTGCAAAACTTCTGGGACGCTTGTGGGAAGATTGACTGTGATATTGCATTGGCATTGATGAATGACATCTTTGTTTATAGCTTGCCAACTATATGTTCTAGTAGAGATTATTTAACTTTTGTTCTAAATGATGTGTCCTGCTTGTGATGAATGTTGATTTTGTTATGTAGGACACTTTAACGCGTGGCATTGACAGTAAGATGTAAAGGTCCTTTGGGAGAAACAGACTTGTAATTACATGGCATTCAACATATCTTGTCATCTCATTCCGACCAGATCACGTCTTGCTAAAAATATTTTAGGTCCTGTCAACAGCTTATTACACTCAAGTATATATTACAAATCCCATCCCTGAGTGAGTTTCATCCTTATCACTTCCAACAAAGCCCATATTTTACAGGAAAAGAATACAATTTCCAGTGACGTTTCTTTCTCCCGTGCGTGTAAATATGTATTGTGTTATGTGTGACATGTTTTATGATCCCTTTTCATGTAATGTTATTTATTTGGACCGTATGATCCTTGGCGGTAGTATGACCTCATTAGACACATCAGAAAGCTTTGGGGATTACAGTGTTTACATATTTCTGTAGATATTTAACTTTTGAACTGTATGTTGCAGATAGCTTATTGAAACTGCCAGCATTTGTTCAGTTGCAGCTATGCTTGTTGTCTCTAAACCCTCATTGTATTCTCATTCATCTTTGTCAATATAATTATAGTATATATTTCTCTACTAAAGCATTAATCTCAGCTATGTTACCCTACAGCTACAGCTCTTATTTTATCTCATGTATTATAAATTATAACCAAGATTTGGGCAGAAGCAAATGTAATCTAAAAATGTTTACTTCTTATGTTACTATGGAATGTAGTTGGCTGATAAAGTCACACCTGGGAATGTATGACCTTCTGTCTCCATACTGATACAGAATCAGGCTGATTGTTCATGGTGACACAGATAAAGCTTTGTATTTTTGATAAAGCAAGTACAGACGAGACATCCAGCAAATGTATAACGAACTTTGGTTATCAGTAAATACAGGGTGAGATAGGAATATAAGCTGTCTTCAAATATGTATACCACTATGGAGAGGTCAAAGGTTTTCTCTGCAAGCTGGGATACTCCAAAGTCGATGCTGATTGTTCTGTTATGCTGTGGGAGAAATAGGAAATATACAGAAAAAAATACCGGGCAGCAGTAAACTAATGACAGGAAAAAAACTGAAAGGAAGAAATTATTAAATGAAAATAAGTCTAATCAAAACAGGGTGAAAAACATATGAAACTGATGTGAAAATGTGTGCTTAGTGCGTGTCTTTAGTACAATCACCTGACTACCAATTCCTCCTGAATTGTTAAAGGGATTCTCCAATGTCTGGAAAACAAACCCATTTCCCTGGAACTAGAGAATCCTGGAGTGCCCCCTCCCTCCCGCCCCTCAATCCCACATCGCTGATGCCAGCCGTCGGGGGAGACCTAACGCACATGCGCGGCAATGGCCAAGCGTGCATTAGACCTCCCCATAGGAAAGCATTATTTAATGCTTTCCTATGGGGAAAATCTGATGCTGGAGGGCAGACTTAGAGCTGCAATGTAAATATTGCAGTTCTCTGAAACTGCAATGTTTTACATTGCAGCACTAGGTGCAAAAGGGACACAGCACTCAATTCGATTAGCTGAAGTGGTCTGGGTGCCTACAGTGTCCATTTAAGTAGAGATCCAAGATGATGGTGTAATTATTTAGTCAGTCTATCTCTCTAAAGAGGTAATTTGCAGGTTAAAACATAAGTAGGAAGTGATTAATTGCACAAATTCTGATGGTAGAGTCCTCATTAGTCCTTCACTTGTACTTGCCATTCCTCTGTCAATCTTAAATTAAATCTAAATATATGTGGCAATTTATTTTCAGATTGTGTTGAGTATACATTGCATGCCTCCCAGCATTTCAAAAGGACAAAGAGAGACACTTTAAATTTATGGGTTTGAGTGGAGGATTGGCCAGTGAGGGGTTTGAGAAATTTTAGGTTAAAGGGACACTATCGTCATCCAGACCATTTCATCTCATTGAAGTGGTCTGTGTGCAGTGTTCCTGTCCCCTTAGTTCTGCAATGTAACAGATTGCAGTTTCAGACAATCCCTGGATATGGGGCTCTCTTGCTAGATCACTACAACAGGAGTAGGGGACTGTGTAATATTAGTGTTATTCTTCAATTTTAAGTTTATTTCAGGCAGCTGCTTTGAGAAGCATCTACTTATTGTAAAAAGATTAGTTGTTTAAGTGCCTTCAGGTGACTGTCGAATGCTAGGGAACAGAACAGTGCTGTACTCCCCTCTATTAAGTTAGGTAGCATGGCAGAATCACTAGTCTATGCTTGACTCCAGCATGTGCTTGTTTCTGGCTATGCTTTCATCGAGGTCCCAGGGAGCATCAGCAGAATGCTATTAACAGGTAGAAAGGAGGGTCATAACATATCCCCACTTCTCTCTTAGTATAGCGGTCATCAAGTTTTCTTTTGGGTTTAAACCCTGATGTTTCTGGAACCCTGCAGGTCCCGTGACAACTGTCATGGTGTTGTGCATTTTTTAAAATAAAATACATAATCATGCCATGCCCAACAGTTATTGAGTTATGAGTTTGTTTTTAATATCTTCTCTTTGAATCTCACTGTTGTATGTACATTCAATATGTAACAGTTAAAAATAAGATAATGTAGAAATAAATTTTTTTAATAAAAATAAAAAAACATATATATTTTTTAAAACTTTATTTTTGGCACATTGCGACATATGCATGACATTATGCATATAGTTGGAGTCACAAAATAAATAAGGAACAATGCTACATACACATAGCAGACAATAATAAATAGAGAGTAAACATGTTGAACTGTAAAAACACACACAAAAAAACCCCTATACAAAATATACGCCATGGAGAATGTATGATAAGGTTCATGGTTATTGCCAAAAAACAAAACAAAGCAAACCGGAAACAGAGGATAGAATTAACAGCTCCTAAAATAAAAAAGTACTTATGAGAAAAGTATACAGGAGCTAGAGAGGAAGGGGTTTGTCAGTAAAACAGGAAAAAGAAAAGCAACAGGTGGAGTAAATTGGGCACACTACAAAGCAAGGTAAGGTTCAGCTTAGCATATTAGATACTCAAGTCAAGTAACTTTGACCCTAGGAGCAGCGCCGGTGCAAGGATTTTTGCCGCCCTAGGCAAAAGAAAGATTCCCCCCCCCGGAACATCGCAATGCCCCACCCATATGAACTAATGCCAAAAGCCTGCAGGGACAAACTAAAGACACCAGAACAACTTTATTAAGCTGCAGTGGTTCTGGGGACTATAGTGTCCATTTAATGTGAAGTAAATTAGAGATTAGTGTCACTAATAATATACTAGATTGCCTACTTACAATCAGATGAGGATGGTGATGGGCTCTGGCTGCAGTCTGGCTCCACTGGTCTGGTGTAGAACAGGATCTCTGGAGGCTGTTTGTAACTGTGGTCACAAAATTCAATGTTCTGGGAGAACGGGAAGCAGCTCCATTTTTTGGGGCCTCTTACATAGCTCAAGGTCTGGGCCCCAGGGCCTGACGGTGAATATGCCCATAAAGCCCACCCATAAGTCCACCTACATGTTCCACCCATGAACTCACAGGGAGTAGAGTGTGTAGTGGATGTGTTATGTGTTACTGTAGAGGATCTAATGTGTGTGCTTACGGAATGTAGTGTATAGGGATACCAGTTTGTGTAGGTGATGCAGTGTGTTTGTGTGTAGTGGAAGCAGTGTGTTTTTGTGTAAGGGATAGTAAGCAGTGAGTGTTTGTGTATAAGGGATGTATTGTGTGTTTCTTGTTGTGTGTAAGGGATGCATTGTGTGAATCTGTGTTTGTATGCATAAGGGATGCAAAGTGTGTTTCTGTGTATGTGTGTTTCTGTGGATGCGGTGTGTGTGTCTGTAAGGGGTGCGTTGAGTGTGTGTAAGAGATGCATTGTGTTTTGCATGTGTGTGTAAGGGATGCATTGTGTGTTTCTGTGTATATGTGCAAAGGATGCATTGTCTTTATGTGTAAGGGTTGCATTGTGTGTTTCTCTGTGTGTAAGGGAAGCATGATTTGTTTCTGTGTGTATAGGGATGCATTGTGTGTGTGTGTGTGTGTTTGTGTGCACGTGGTGTGAAAGAGCTCCCTGTCCCCCTGTCCTATAGAGCTCTCCCTTCCATTCCTTTGAGATCTCCCCTGCCCCTTAGTGGTCTCTCCTCTCCCCCCACCTCCCTTAGTGGTCTCCTTTCCTCCCCGACTTTCCATTAGTGGTCTCTCCTCTCCCCCCACCCTCCCCTAGTGGTCTATCCTCCACCCCCTCCCTCCTTTAGTGGTCTCTCCCTCCCCTACGTTCTCATCCCCCAGCCCTCGTGTTCTCCTCTTCTCCCCCTGTGTTTTCCTCTTATTCCCCCCCTGTTCTTCTCTTCTTCTCCTCCCTGTAATCTTCTCTTCTTCTCCCCCCTCCCTGTAATCTTCTCCCCCTGTAATCGCTTCTTCTCCCCGTAATCTTCTTCTTCTCCCCATAATCTTCTCTTCTTCTCCCCCTAATCTTCTCCACTCCCCTCCCATCAATCTTCTCCCTCCCTCCCTCCTCCCTCCCTCCCTCCCTCCCATCAGTCATCCCCCCTCCCTCCCTCCCAAATCATCTCCCTCCCATCAATCATCTCCCCCATCAATCTCCCCATCAATCATCTCCCCATCAATCATCTCCCCATCAATCATCATCTCCCCCTCCCATCAAATCATCCCCATCAATCATCTCCCTCCTCTCCATCTCCCCATCAATCATCTCCCCCATCAATCATCTCCCCATCAATCTCCTCTCATCTCCCTCCCATCAATCATCATCCCCCTCCCCTCCCAATCTCCTCCCTCCCATCAATCATCTCCCCCCCTCCCATCAATCATCTCCCTCCCTCCCATCAATCATCTCCTCCCATCAATCATCTCCCCCCATCAATCATCCATCAATCATCTCCCATCCATCTCCCCCCTCCCTCCCATCAGCTTCTCCTCACCTCCCCTGCCCTGTAGCATGGCCGAGCTCCTTTCCGGTCCGCGACCCGGCCAGACTGACAGGAAGTGCTGCAGAATTTAAAGGGCAGGCGATGAATAAATAGAGTGATTTGTGCTGGATCCCATGAGTGAGTGGTTGACCTCTTTAGTTCTGTGGTGGTTGAGAGAGAGTCTGGGCTGAGACCTAGTTTTCACAGGACAACATCTTTTTCAGATATGTCAAACACTCGTAGCCGTCTGACGTTGTGTTTAATGATCAGTGATCGTGGAATACCCCAGCAGTATCGCAGGCCACAAGAAAAATGACAAATAGCGTAAGAGGGTGACAGGATCTCTTCCAGAGCCGAGTGGATCATAATAAATCTGATAAAAAGTTATGTTGATCCCCTCAAACTTATAGGGAGTTTTCCCTTTAATAGTGCTTAAAAATCCAGCTTGTCTTGACTATTCTAGAACTTAACCAGGAGGTAGTTTGTTGCTGAGGTCGAAGTGCCTGAGGTTTTGGTAGGCAAAACAAGCCATCTAGGTGTATTCCCTTTACTTTTATGGGGGGGGGGGTTAATAATTCCCCAAAAAGTCAACGTGGTAAATGTGGCCATTTGGCCATGTCTACTTATTATCATATGTTTCCACCGTCATTTATATTGATGTCCTCCAGTAATTGACAGATCTCAGCAGATATATTCTGGCAAAGATTGGCCAGCACGAACTTAAAAATGCCAATGGTCACTTGGAAGGTTTCTCCAGTAACAGGAGGGGGGGGGATCTTGGAGAAGACTTTTCATAGGGTTCATTAGCTGCTCATCAGTTAATTTTGGTTGGGCCTCGTTTCAACCTTTTAAAAACGAATCCCCGTTATCCACAGAATTATGGGGCTGATTCGATTTATTTTTATGTACCATGGCTTTAGGACATCTACAGGTATGAGAACACGTTACAAAATTCAATAATACATACCCAAAGTTCATCAACTAAAAAGATTAGAAATTAAGCACTGCCGCTATGTGACTGTACCACTTGGGTGCTATCTCTGCCTCCCAAAAGAAATTGAATATTTAATTGCAAGTTCATCTTTTATTAATAAAGAATTAACCTTTATTGAAATTCAATGCAACCAGATGCACTTTTGAAAAGGACGGATCCACTGAAGCATGCATTATTCATACTTACTTAATTAGAATATATCCTAAGTAAAGACCAGAAATACATATAATGTACAGCATGGTGGGGGTAAGAATTAAAAATTAAATAAGGTAGGCACACTCAATATACAATATGGGGTTCTCACTCACATAAGGCTTTATCCCCAAAAGCCCAAATACATATAAATAACAATGGAGGAAGGAGCACAACCATCAATAGTAATAAAACAATCTTTATTAAGTGGGTATACTCTATAAAAATATCACATCCAAAATATAGGATCATATCACGCTATACAGCAATGATCAGAACATTTTTGAATATATATATATATATATATATATATATATGTACGCCAAAAGCGTCTTATGTGAATAACAGAGTCTCAATATACAAAAAATAGACAAATGAAATAACAGTCTAATCCAACCCCACAAACATAGACATAAATATACAAAAATATATATAACAATAAGCATACCAGACCTAGTGAGAAGCAGGGACAGAGTCAGTCACAAAAACACCCCCAACATTTCGGCAACAATGCCTTTATCAAGGGAGCATGTTGAGAGAAACTAAATTCTGTTCTTATATACCCAAAGTAAAAAATAAACATAGGAAATACCTGAAAAAAATGGGTGGCCACCCATGATGACTGGGATCCTCCCAACCATGATACACCTGTTCATGATTGTCAAGGGAACCAGAAAGCCCTGACCTATGTACATATCAAAATGCAGGTTCACAAGTAAAATACATAAAGAAAAATACTAGACATACAAATACAAAATCAACATAAAACATGCAGGCAAGATATTAAGTATACATGTAGTGGACATATTAATAGAAACATATTATGAGATAAACAAGAATATAAATATTACATCAGTATTAATATAAAGATATAAAGATCAACTGTCCCAAATGGTATGGCAGTTTGAAAAGGATGAAAAAATATGAAAAAAGAAACAATCAAAAGTAAATGTCACAAAATGCCTAGTGCAGAGATTTGATCTACAAGCTTAAACTGATGCAAAAAAGAATGCAAACATAGATCTGAGGCGTGAGCAGCGTCAAGCGCTTCAAAATCGCCGAACCCGGAAGTAAACTAAATCTGGTGGAACGCACATGCGTTGCAATATAAAAAATATGTCTGTTCGCAAAACAATTTAAGGTACCAGCATCTTAAAGTGACAGAGGGTCATCAAAATACAAAAAAATCAAAACAAATCTAAACCAAATTAGACAATCCATACCCTGCACAGACAATTGAAAAATATCTGTCAGAAACAATACAACATGTATAATGATTAAAGGACCACTATAGTGCCAGGAAAACATACTCCTTTTTCCTGGCACTATAGTGCCCTGAGGGTGCCCCCACCCTCAGGGTCCCCCTCCCGCCTGGGTCTGGGGAGAGGAAGGGGTTAAAACTTACCCTTTCTCCAGTGCCAGGCGGGGAGCTCTCCTCCTCCTCTCCGCCTCCTCTCCTCCCTTTCTTTGAAACTGCTATGTTTATTAAAAAAAGGGTTAACCCTAGCTGGACCTGGCACCCAGACCACTTCATTAAGCTGAAGTGGTCTGGGTGCCTAGAGTGGTCCTTTAAGTAGACATGAATCTTCCATCATGTAGGTCCATAAAAGGGACGAAATTCAGGTGTATATTTCTGAGAGGAGTCCAATCATCGGAGGACCGCCCAGCAGTGAACAACCCAAAAAGGGAGACTAAACTGAAAAAATAAAAAATAAAATCAATGTCAAGAATAGCAAATACAGACATTCACAGGCAAACAAAAAAATAGAAGGAACCACAAAAAGAGGTCCCAATAAGACAAAAAAGAAAAATGATGGACATAGTCCAGAAATGTAAGCAACTTAACCAATTGTATATGACCATATTACCTGAAGGGATTAAAATCACAGTCTTCATTCAACCCATGTGAGAATAATGTATCCAATCGATAAATCCACCGTAGTTCCGCGCGTTTGAGCGAATCTGCAAGGGAACAACCAAAATGAGGAGTCTTGATACGTTCTATAGCCTGAAAACTTAGTTGTGCCACCGAATGGCCAGTGTCAATGAAATGTTTGGCAAAGGAGATATGCCGTTTCTTAGTGCGAATGGTACTTTTATTTTCACCAATACGTACAGTTAAAGATCTGGACGTTTGGCCGATGTATCCCAGACCACAAGGACATTTGATGAAATAAATGACCTGGTCTGTTTGGCAATTAAAAAACTCCTTGATAGCAAATGCTTTCCCTGTTCTGGGATGTGTAAATTCTGAACACGTGATCACATTATTGCAGTTGGCACAATGGCCACATCGGCGCATACCCTTAATAGGTGCCAACCACGTAGTGGATGGTTTAGAGGATATTCTGGCTCTGGAGGGCGATACCAAGCTTTTAATATTCCTCGATCTCTTATAAGCCATGAGTGGTCTCCCCTTGAAGAGATCAGCAATCTCCGGGTCACTCTGTAGAACATGCCAGTTCTTGTTGATTATGTGTTTGACCAAACCAGATTTGGTCGAATATGTAGTGACACATGGAATGCGGTTGGACTTGTTTCTCTTGTTCTTACCCTTGGTCCTCAGTAATGATGTCCTCTCCCGATGTGTCGTTGTAATCACGGGAACGAAAATCTTCCAGCATCTTCCTAGCCTCAGTATCTAAGTTAGCTTCCTGGGATAAGAATTAAACAGATATCTAGATTTTCTCTTTGACTTAATATGTTCTTCCAATCTTTGCCAAATTGAAGTCGAAGGGGTGACAAAATGTCTTCCCTTCTTGTGTTTGGATAATGTTTTGCAAGTCTATGATAGTGAACTATGGGGTTTGAGAGTTTTACTTGAATACATGTGATGTGCAGTTCCAAGCCACTGTACTAAATCACTTTAAAAGATTTCTTAGTTTAAGAGTAATACATATATATATATATATCCATGTGCGGGAAGGAGGGGGATTTTTCTTTGCTCTAGTTAACTAGAGAAGACAAGAAAAAACAAGATCTGCACATTATATAAATGCTCTGAATGCTCTCAGTAAGTTCTTTAAAAAGCAGAAACCAGAGATAATTAGATAATTGGGGAAAAGTGCTGCTAATGTCAAGGTTACTTACCGGGTGATTTGCTCTAACTGATTTATAGTAAAAAATATTGACTGGTTAGTACACAGCTCTAACACCTATTATCCTCCCTTTGAATTCATCCTTATGGATATATCATCTTCTTTCAACTCTGTATTAGCTGTGAATGGGCATTAGTGTCAAATTAACTTCTTCCCTATAGATGTAATAGGCTGAGCTGGTCTGTGTTAAAGCGTAGTTCATGCCATTACTATTGCAATGCCCTATTAAGACAGCTGCACACTCTGCTATTAAGGAGGAATGACAGAACCAGTGTGTATGCCTCACTGAACAGACTTGTTCAGACCAAAATGCAGTAGCTTGAGTGGAAGAACTAGAAATGGCATTTCTGATTTGGTTTCAGTTAATTCAAACTAGTGATCCTCTATGGAAAATGGTAAAAAACCAAAAATTCTGTTCATAGAGAACAACCTTGAAATTTTTCCTTATATATTTTATACTTGATTCTTCTTTCAGTCTTTCCTTATTTACTCCTTTCCTTCTTTTCTTTTTTCTTTCTTTCTTTCTCTCTTTCTCTCTCTCTATTTCTCTCTCTCTCTTTCTCTCTCTCTCATGTAATGAGGCAGCTGGGATCATATGTCCCCACATACTGCTTGGTTTTGTTATGTCTTCGATTGTTTGGGAGAAGTCACAGTTTTTAATGGATATTTAAAAGCACCTCATTATTCAGTTGTCTGAAAGCTTTCACAGGAAATATGAGTTTACCAATGAAACCCATAAATTAAGTAATATTCTATGCGCGCGTAGACCAGTCTGAACAGCCATTAGTCATCATACAGTGAATTGGCATCGACTTTTAAATGACCCTTGGAACATTCATTATGTCCTTACATTAAAGCATTACATGTTATATACATCACTATAAAGAATATATGCAGCATATGACATTATTTTATGTTTAGTTATATTTTATTTTATTGTATTTAGAATGCTTTACTTACCTCTGCAGACAACAAACATAATTTGCCGCTATTTTAACATAGTAACTTATTACTGTAATGTTCTCCTTTGGACAGTAGTCTGTCTATTTCGATTGGAAACATATGCTCCCCAAACTCCGGCCCTCCAGATGTTGCTGAACTACAATCCCCATGATTCTATGAATTAAATAGGCTGAGAATCATGGGAGTTGTAGTTCAGCAACATCTGGAGGGCCGAAGTTTGGGGAAGCCTGCTTTAAATGGTTCTTGGTGTATCGGACATCATAGGTGCCCACCTCTATGGGCCTTCATAGAGTATTTTAACTTATTAAAGGTAGAATGAAGGAAGTATGTCTTGTAGTCACCATTAAAAGTATCAGGCCTGGCAAAGATCTGTGCATAATAGAGTGCTGATCTATCCATCAGCTAATATCCAGGTGTCCTTTAAAAACAGATACAAATAATATTTAATAATTTATATAATTAGGTTAATATAGCAAAATAAACATACAGATAAAATATATATTTTCAATCGCTAGCATTTTGTACTTACCTGATTCAAGACATTACTGTCATGATTTAGATCTATCCTTTCACATTTTTATTTACAGTGCTCTACATTATCATATATTTATAATATGACAGGCCTGTTTAGGTACTACCGTTACTTTCCCAGGTTTTTTTCGTGAACATCTAAAAAAACAAACTCCAAACATTTAGGCACTAGCAGTGATGGCTGTAGAATTTTAGAAGACTAATATTTGTCAAGCAATTTTCTATCATTACATAAACACATATGTTTGAGATATCATATCACTGTGTGATCACTACTAACATTTCATTTAGGATTAGTTACATAGATAATTTGGCTGAAAAAGGAAAAAACGTCTTTCAAGTACAAAATTTCAAATTACTTGCCCCCAAAGCACAGAAAAGAAAATAGCACAGTCAGTAAAAAAGATATAAACATTTTTAGATACATAAATGAGGAAAGGAAAGTAAAACAAGGATTAGTTAGATTAAAAACAAATGAAGGAATGTATGTTGAAGAGGATAAAGAGCATGGCCCTCATCTACGTATTGTTCCTGTGTCTAATTTTGTTGTAAATTTCCCCCACTTTTATAATATTGAAAAGTGCTGCGGAATTAGTTGGAGCTATATAAATACCAATAATAATAGCTGACTGCCTCAATGAATATTTTTGTTTGGGATTTACAGCTGAAAATGAAGGAAAGGGACCTCAGTTAGGAAAAAGGACAAATGAGTCATTTATTACATGTGAGTTTAAAGAGGAAGAGGTTCTATTTCAACTCTCAAAAGTAAAGACAAATAAGTCAATGGGGCCTGATGCAGTGGGCGTTTCCTCTGTGTTATTTGTAGGTTTCACAGATAATTTTATTGTTATTTTCACATATTACAATGTTGCTTGAGGTTAGTGCATTAATTTTCTTTCACTTTGTGTTTCCTATAGTTTTGAGCCCCAGAATATGTTATGTATTTATGTACAATGTACATGTTCAGATTCCACTGTAAGGATATTGATCATACTTTGTTTTTCTTACAGGTGGGCGGCACAAAGACAGGAGTGGTTCGCTATGTTGGAGAAACAGATTTTGCAAAGGGAGAATGGTGCGGAGTTGAGCTGGATGAGCCTTTGGGCAAGAACGATGGTGCAGTGGCAGGAACCAGGTATGCCACACTCACAGTATATTTACTATCTTTTTTTTTTTTATAATGGATATTAATTCCAATTATATATATATATATATATAAAAAAAGAGAAGGTGATATTGCATGCCCCATCTTCTTCACAAGATATTCCCAGGAGTTTCTAACACCTGCTGGAGGTGTAGTCAGAACATTGGCACTCTTCTTTTTATATGCTGGATTTGCTAAAAACATAAATAGTAGGTAATTGAATCCCACGGAATAGTAAAATACAACAAAATTAGATAAAAATGGCTGCTTCACAACAAAATTGAGCAACTAATTGATATATAACAGATAAACAATGAATGTGTGAGCGCTCCAAATCACCACAGGCATGCCACAACTACGAAAGAGTGATATAACTCTTATTTACAGAAAATGAGTGTTTTCAAATGAATTACATAAAAACGTAAAAATGAACCAGCAAGAATCAGTCAGAGAAAATCCGGTGTAAACATAAATCAACGTTCAATAAACTGAATTAGTGTAGGATACTAAACCATGACAAGTTGGCACTGAAAAATATTTTAATTGAATGTGTGGCTAAAAGAGCATACTATCTCATATGAACCAATCAATGGAATATTCATTCAAGACGGATAATTTATATGACAGTCTGGACTAGTATAAAAGTGTACAAAGGTTAATTTATTAAACTATAAAACATATATATTAAGTATCCGATAAATACTAAAAAATAGATGTAGAGGCGTGGCCTAGATGAGCATGGTGCAGGACGCACGGTAAAGGAGCTCCGCACCCCTTGCCGACAAAAAAGCACATTACATCCCTTACACGAGAGGTCCGGAATAAAAAGCTATCAATCTCGGGGACGGCCACAGTAAGCTCCCCAAGGTGAAATACGGGACCGATGGACGAATACATCGCGACCCCATCGGAACTGCGAGGCCCCTCACACGCCAACAAAATGGCGCCTGCCTCTCCAAGCTCAGAGAGTACAGGGGAATCCCTGCCAAGCAGCGAGCAAGCAGAAGCCCTAACGCTAATCCGAGCGGAGCTCACGCAGAGAATGCTGACCAAAGCAGACACGGGCACCCTGGTCCGGGAAATGCGAGCGGCCTGGCGAGAGGAATTAGCAGGCCTACGCAAAGACCTGAACGCGCTGGAACAGAGGGTGGAGGAAGTGGAGATGGTGGCCCACGGATGCGAGCAGCAACACAGGGCTGCAGAGGTGGCTGCGACCAGACAGGGGAATATGCTACTTACCCTCCGCAGGCAAGTCGAAGATCTTGAAAATAGAAGCAGACGCAACAACATCCGCGGGCTGCCTGAAACAGAGACAGAGCCGTGATAGGCCACACTGGTAGCGCTGTTTCGGCAAATCCTTGGAGCAGATGCACCCGATGAGCTCAGGCTTGAGTGCATATCCCTATACCACAACCTTTCCACCCTGACACTGGACGCCAGATGAGCATTGCGTCCAGTAACCAGCACCCTCAGGGAAAAAAAAGGTTCCCATACCGCTGGGGATTTCCATTCAGCCTACAAGTAAAACACAGCCACACATGGCTGATGGTGCGCTGGCCTGAGGAAGTCCCCAGCCTGCTGAGTGCACTCAACCTACCGCAGACCCGTGTCCGCAACTGGATCCTGGAGGAAGCGACAGCGGCACGGCGGGACCCCTTGGCTCCCATCCTTAACACTGATGCAACTACCAGTGGGAGTGCTCCCCAAAGGAGGTGGGGAGAGCCGGAAGGCCCAGAAGAATAGTTCTGCTCAAGCTGAGTCGGATTAAGGGGAGACTGGTGAGTCTATGTACACACAGGGGACATGGGGACACTCGGGACTATCAGGTCACTCGGGATGCTTTGGGCACACCTGGACACATGGGTGGGGTATGGAAGGGGAGCCCTGAAAAGGGGCTGAGGGGAGATGAGCATGCCCACAAAATGAAAATTTTCTCTAAATTGCTCAGCTGGGGTGGCCCCCCGCCCCCGCCCTGAAGGAGCGGAGGTCACGGCGGGCATGAACCCCCCACGTTTGGGGGGATGTTTAGCCAACATAAAAGCCCGGCATGGGGCACATGCACTTGATTGCACCGCTGAGGGGAGGGAGTGTGAACCACACTGGGGAGGGGGTACGTGGTCTCTGGCGGGAATTGGCAACGGTCCCAGCAGAGGGCGGTAAAGTGCACAGCCAGCCTGACGAGCTCCCCCCGACATGCAATGCGGTAGGAGACACGGAGGCCTGTGAACAGCCCAGAACGGGTGACCCAGCCCACTTGCCGTCGGCAGAGACAGTGAACTACTGCTGCTTCCTTGACGCATTAAGTTACCTCAGGCGGCGAGCCGCTCCCTAAACCTGGCCAGATGGGTTTAACAGGAGGATGCATGGGGGGGTGCAGGGTGGGACTGTGGGGAAAAGTGTCGGGAACCTGGGTTTGCTAAGCATGGGATGGTGTGATATTGCTAGCTATAAATGAGATTATGTAATGCTGCCATACACGGAGACCGCCCGACGGGGATTCCGGAGGTCCCGTGCCCGCAAGGGGGGGGGACCCGAGGGAGCCCTGTCTGCGGCAAAAGGGTAAATATGAGGTTTGGAAGGAGGAGTGAGCTACTGGGGGCATTGTAGGCCGCGTAGACCCACAATAGAGGACACTGAAGCGAGTAACCCACCCTAAGCATGCGCACCAAACAGTCAGAAGTTACCACAGCCCTTGGGTCGCCCCGCACCAGCAGACTGGCCCTGACCCCCTCATTACACCCACACGACTGAGAACAGGGGCGCATGCCCACCCAAACAAAGCTAGAGAGAGCCGGTGGACCTAGAGATCCTTGCCCCGGGTGACTTGGAGAGGGCCCAAGGGGGACCATGGACCCCCTTCTAAAGACTCCCAGCTCTCCCCACCGACGACTGACCAAACGTTGACACTGAAACCCCTTACCAATATATAGTTTCCGGACACTTTTTGCCTCCTTAGTCACAACAACATTTCGGCCAGGAGGGTGGGACAGAGAACCACACTATATACACATATACTATAGACCCACTCTCACTGCGAACATAACTTATACCTACTTATACCTACTTATCACTTGACAGCAGGGTACACAATATCCACAGCTGTTCCTGCGCAGGTACAGTCTAGGTCAGGCACCCACAGACAGACATCTTCCCTGAACTGGTGCGGGAGTGCGGAACGCTCTCAAGAGGGTGCCCTGCATGACGCCCCGCCACAGGTGTCAAGTCTACGTAAACCCACTAACGGGTCTCTACTCACGTCCAAACTCAGGCATTCACCCCCAGTGTCTGTCTGACACCGTTCTATCCCTCCTCCCATCCCGGCCCCTCCCCAGCGCCCTCTCCGGCTGTGGTCTAACAACGTCCGAGGTCTGAACGCGCCCGAACGGAGGTCACACCTGCTACGCACCCTGTGGACTGAAAGGGTATCAGTCACGTTCCTACAGGAAACCCACTTCCGAGGAGACCGGGACCGGAACTTGAGAGACACAAGATATGCCCAGGGCTTCTTCGAGAACCACCAAACAGCCAAAAAAGCTGGAGTCGCAATACTGATGGCGAGCAATGGGCCATTAAAATGTACGGAGGCACAGGCTGACCCCATGAGACGTTTCCTTTTTATTAAAGGCACTATCGCCGAAAGCCCGTACACCTTGCGAGCATCTATGCCCCCAATACCAGACAACATAGATTCCTCAAAAACACACTGAACAAACTCGACCAGTTCCGCGAGGGCCTTTTGTTGGCCGCGGGTGATCTGAACGTGGCGCTCAAACCCAGACTCGACACCTCCAGAGGGGCCAGCTCCTATCCATCTGATGGTCTGAGAGACATCAAGGATACACTGTGCGGAGCAGGCCTGGTGGACTGCTGGAGAGCCCTACACCCGGGTGATAGAGATTACACCTATTACTCCACAGTACACAAACGGTACAGCAGGCTGGACTATATCTTCATGGCACAGGAGTTCCATCACTTGCTCGTCTCGTCTGAGATTCGCCCGCTGGGCTGGTCCGACCATTACCCTGTATTGACATGCATCAAGTCCCCCTTGTTCCGGCCCAGAACCCGACAATGGAGGATGAACAAATCGACCCTGATGGATGCTCCCACTGTCATGGAACTCCGAACGACACTAACCACATTCTTCGAAGAAAACGAATCCCCTGACATGCCAGCCCTAACCCTATGGGAGGCACATAAGTGCGTGATCTGGGGACTGCTAATCAAAATATGCACCCAACGGAAGAAGGAGCAGCGGAGGCGCACGGAGGAGCTCTACAAACAGATCTCGGAACTGGAGGAGGCACAGTCCACGCAATCCGAAGAGGACTACAAGGCCCTACTGGAAGCCAGGAAGACTCTTCGTGACTTTTTACAGCGGAAACTACAACACACTATTCGCGGGTCCCACCGCTTCTTTAATGAATATTCAGATAAATGCATCCGCCTACTGGACAGAATGCTCCAAAAGAGGCGACGCATGTGTCACATCACCAAAATCAGAATTAATGAACAGACAACAACCCAGATGCCAGACAGAATAGTCGAATCCTTCCGGGAATTCTATGAGACCTTATATAATCTACCCACCGTGACTACCCCAGAATCGATACACCATAGGGACTTGCGGATATCGGAGTACTTGCGGGAGCGTGTCTCTAAAACGCTAAGCCAAGAGGCGACAGAGGAGCTAGAAACACCCATATCGCTGGAGGAGCTCCAGGCGGCACTAAAAGGATCCAAGCTTAACAAAGCCTCAGGCCCGGACGGGTTGCCGGTCAAATATTTGGGGATGTGCTTCTGCCCAGACTCCTTAATGGCATTAACTCCCTCCTGGACGGAGGGACATTTCCACGGGACTCCCTAGCAGCGACAATAGCCGTCATCCCAAAGGAAGGTAAGGACCCAGCCAGCTGCTCCAGCTACAGACCAATCTCGCTTCTAAATGCAAGTCTAAAGCTCTTCACGAAGATACTCGCCACCCGCATCAGTAATGCTTTCCCGGGACTGGTGAGCCCCGACCAGGTTGGCTTCATCCCTGGCCGAGAAGCTAGGGACAACACCATCCATGCCCTAAATGTCATCCATGCGGCCGGGAGCTCAGCACAGAAGCTCATACTGCTTTCCACCGATGCGGAGAAGGCTTTCGATCTGGTGGACTGACGGTATATGAAGGCTACGCTACAGGCTATGGGTGGACCGCACCTGATGACCTGGATTTTCTCACTATTCACAACCCCAACTGCTAGGGTACGGGTCAATGGCGCTCTCTCCGCTCCAGTTTTTATACGAAATGGGACGGGACAGGGCTGCCCGCTCTCCCCCCTCCTGTTTGCCCTCTCCCTGGAACCGTTCCTGGGGGTGGTCAGACGGGATGGGGGAATAGGGGGGTACACCGTGCGGGGCACGAAATACAAGGTGGCCGCATATGCTGACGACATGCTGTTTTTCATCAGCGACCCCCTGGTTTCCATTCCGAACCTTCTGCAACCTATGCAGGGTACGGGCTCATATCCAACATGAAATTGAATGCAGATAAGTCGGAAGCCATGCCCATCTCACTGACGGAACCTGAAATCGCCCACCTACAAACTCAATTCGGGTTCACATGGTGCCGAACGAAACTTAAATACTTGGGGATATGGCTCTCCGCGGACCTGACCCAACTCTACGCGCACAACTTTGCCCCAATGCTACTCACGCTGAAACGTGACCTGACACGATGGGCTAGTCTGTGTGTGTCGTGGTTTGGCAGAATGAACGCCATTAAAATGAACCTCCTTCCGCGCCTGCTGTACCTCTTCCAGACACTCCCGATAAAAATTCCGATGTTGTTCTTCCACACCATTGACACAGCCATCTCCGGATTCATATGGAAATCTAAGTCTTCCAGACTTAAGAGAGCTCAGCTGCAGCAGACAAAAGCGCAGGGAGGAGTTGGACTCCCCTCAATTTTGACCTACTACAGGGCGACACAGCTACACTGCGTAGAGGACTGGCATGCACTAAAGACAGACAAGATCTGGATACGCATGGAGCTTGTGCAGATGGAGGAGACGCTTCTTGCAGCTGTTTGGCTGGACGGGCCCCCGAGGTCCAAACAGACTCGGACCAACCCTTTCATATGGGTGACTCTGCAGACGTGGTACTCCATAAGAACCAAACTCTCGCTAACCACGACACCAGGGCCACTGACCCCAATCATTCACAACCCCAATGTAGCTGGGGGCCTCAAGCCACAGGACATCAAGACGCTCGGAGCAACGGATTTCACGCACATGCAACAATGGAACCCACGAGATACATGGCATGCTGGTAGGAAAC